GTGAAGTGAGCATTTCCCTAATGATCATAAAGGGAAGAAATCTGAGAGATATTTTATATTTCAAATATTTCTAGGATAATAGTATTAAAGACATTCTTTAAGGTCTAATTAAATTAACTCAAACTGAGGACATTATATCATGGTTCTCAAACATCTCTCTTCTGGTCTCTTCTGGTCTTCTCTGACATTCTTTGGATGGATTTTAAGCTGGCAGAGTTAAACCATAGTGAAATCTGACACTACAGTCTTCTATTTGAAACTGAAATTATCTAACTGGAACCTGTGAGACAAAGTTCACTTAGACTTTGTCAACTTTTCCCCCTAGGTTTTCCTCATACTTTGTTACAAAGATTAAAGCTGGACCACAATCATAAATATCTAGCAGTAAATGACACATTTACTCAGCTCAGCTGGGAGAATTCTCCTGCCCACAACTGAATAGAACAAATGCATGTTTCTTATCTTTAATATGGGGTTCCAACACTTCAGACGAGGGTGCTAAAACGTGTTCTTCTAATTAACAACACGAATGTAAGTCTAATTTAGCACCTTTGTTAGCTTTATAAATCCTGCTGTTTATTTTTCCCTAATAATACATTAGTCTGGAAACAATAGATTAACGTGCTCAGAATCAATGTACACACTAATTATTAGGGATTGGTTAAAATAGTCCTGTTTCTTACTGAAGTATAGAATCGGGGGTGGGGGAAGAAAGTATAAGTAGACATGAGCTAATATGACCACTTACTGTTATAACGGCTGAATTGATAAATGCAGCTGTTATCAGTAAGAGAGTGTGCTTGCTAATATTGTACCAAATTAGACAAACTAACTCACCCACTACTGGACCATACAGCAATTATCTCCACATCAATCAGTAATGATGGCAGCATCCACTAGGAAGATGGGAGTAGGTTCTCCTATAGGCAGTTGCCTCTCGAAGAAAAAAGGAAGGGTTATATTTAAGAGCGCCAACTTCATTTTAGCCAAACTGATCCATCAGTTAAGGACTGACATCTCCTGGTAACAGGAGACCAAAAAGGGAGAGAAGTTAGAAATGTTGTATCTGCTGTCTCCACAGGGAAGAAAGCCTAAGATAAGTGAAGTGTGGGTTCCCAACAATATTAATTTTAAGGAAAATCTAATAAGCCAACACCTCTTAAACTGTTCCACAAAATGGAAAGGAACACTGCCAAACTCATGGCACAACATTTGTATTACCGTGATTCAAAAAGCTATTAAACACATACACACACACACACACACACACACACATTCACACACACAAGAAAACTATACCAGTTTCCCTGAATATATCTTAATAAAATACTTACAAATTGAACTCAAGATCACATTAAGAATATCATATATCATGATCAAGTTGGGGATATAAGTTTTGTTCAATATCTGCAAATAAATGTTATACACTATATTAATAAACTTAAAGATGGAAACCATCCAAATAGATATAGGAAACACATTTGGCAAAATTCAATATATCTTCATGATATAAGTCCCAGAGAAACTATAACTAGATAAATCATATTCAATATAATAAATGCTGCATAAAACAAACATGCAGACCACTAAATGGGAAGAAACAGAACATTAATTCTGAAATATGGGAAATGTAATTTGTTCCCCCTCTTCACTAGTATTCAGTATAGACAGTGTTTGAAGATTCAACTAGACTAATAGCACAAGAGAAAGATATAAAAGGGATAAAATTTAGGGAAAAAAGAAGTTAAGTAATTCTTATTTATAGACATGATTCTGTACTTCAAACTACAGAGTCTGAAGTGGCCAGTGGTGGCACACACCTTTAATTCTAACACTTGCAAGGCAGAAGCAGACCGATCTATGTGAGTTCAAAGCCAGCCTGATTTACATAGTGAATTCCAGAACAAATGGGTGTACACAGAGAAACACTGTCCGAAACACACACACACACACACACACACAAAACAGAAAGCTACAGAGTTCACCAGAAAACTTAAGATCCAATAAACACTTTGAGGAAAGTTGCAAGCTACAGGTTAGCATACAAGATTCAGTAGCTTTTAAATATACTGATACTTGTTGAGAAAGAAATATTAAGAATGTACTATTCTCAGTAGCTTTAAAAATCTAAGAGTGAACTTAATAAGGGAGTGGAAGATCTCTACAGGGTAAACTTTATGATACTAAAAAGGAAATTGAAGAAGTCACTAGACAATCAAAAGAATGCCTATGCTCTAGTATTGATAGAATCAATATTGTGAATATGGCTATATCACCCATAGCAATCTACATAGTCAATGCAATTCCCATTAAAATTCCACAACATTATTCATAGAATCAAAAATTAATTCTGAGATTCACACAGAAACGTTAAGGACCACAAGGGGCAAAAGAAATCCTAACCAGGGGCTGGAGAGATGGCTCAGTGGTTAAGAGTGCTGGCTGCTCTTCCAGAGGTCCTGAGTTCAATTCCCAGCAACCACATGGTGGCTCACAACCATCTGTAATGAGATCTGTGGCCCTCTTCTGGCATGCAGGCATACATGGGGGCAGAATGTTGTATACATAATAAATAAATAAATTTAAAAAAAAAGAAATCCTAACCAGAAAATATCCTCTCAGAGATATCACATTAACTGACTTCACACTGTACTACAGAATCATTGGGGCAAAGAAAAACCAGAATAGTTAGAATAGTACAGGCCCAAAATAGACAGGTAGACCAATGGAGCATAACAGATCACCCAGAAATAAAACCATAATGCTACAGACATTCAAATTCTGGCAAAGGCATTAAAAATATCCTGGGGAAAAAAGCATTGTCAATAAATGATACTGGCAAAACTGGAAATTTACCTGTAGGAAAAAGATATTAGATTCATATCTTTCATCCTTTACTTCACACAAAAAAAAATAATTCAATTGTGTCAAATACATTAACAGTAAATCTGAAGCTGCTATGGGAAAATGAAGAAAAATACATTTTGGTATAGAGGTACAGATATATACCTTTCTAATAGAACTTTCTAATAGAAGCAGAGAAGCACAGAAAATAGTCCCAAGAATTGACGGATGTGATTACATGGATGAGAAGACTTTACACATTGGAGGAAGAGATCAGTTAAGTTCACATATAATCTATAGTATCTGGAGAAAACCATTTTCCAGTTGAATTTGGTACTTGGGTCAATATCTAGAAAGAACAAAGAAATGCCAAAATGAAACACAAAATAAATGAAACTACTAATAACAGAGTTCTGAAAAGATGAAAAATAAATCCAAACAGTGGAGGCACAAGCCTTTAATCCCAGCACTCAGGAGACAGAGACAGGTGGATCTCTGTGAGTTCAAGGCCAGACTGATCTACAAGAGTTAGTTCCAGGACAGGCTCCAAAGTTACAGAGAAACAGTGTCTCGAAAAACCAAAAAACAAAAATAAAGAAAAAGAAAAGGAAATATAAGTGGCATATAAATATTTTTAAAGTGCTCGACATCCTCAGCCAACACGACAATAAAAATCAGACTTTGGTGTTCTATCTCGCTCTAGTGAGAGTAGCTCTCATCAAGACTGCAAATGACAGCAGCTGGTGCAGATGAGGAAAGGAGGAACACAGACATTTATCCACTGCTGGTGTGAGTGTAAACTAAAATGGATTTGTTTTGGAACTACCATATTACCCTGCTATAGCACTCCTGGGCATAAACCCAAAGGGTTCCATTTTCTACTCTAGAGACACTTGTATGTCCATCTTCATTGCTGCTTTGTTAACAATATCAGGTAAACAGGATAAGTCTAGATGCCCCCAACAGATGAACAGGTAATGAAAATGTGCTATATATAAATATATATTTTATTTGACCATAACAGAATGAAGATATGAAATCTGCAGCAAAACAATAGAATTAAAAAAAACATACTAAGTGAGGAAACTGAGGCTCAGACAGACAAAGGCTGTGTGTTTGCCCTTTTATGCAGATCTTAACATCTAATTTTTACACATGAATAGTTATGTAGAAATGAGGGTGAATGGATTCCATAAATGTAGAAAGGGTTGGGTGGGGAAGAGGCACTAATAGTGAAGGGGGTGAGAGAGCACACGTGAAATAAAGTAGAAGGGTAATCTTGGGGATGGAAGGATGCAAGAGGGCCAGCGATATGGGGGAAGGAAGCATGGTGGGGACAATTAATCAGAGTTAAATATAACAATTCTGTAAGGAAATTTGCTACATTGTATAATGATTTTAAAAGAAGAGCAAGATTTAAAAATACCATCTCTAATAGGAGACAGTTCACTGAAGACACACGAGGAAGGGGAAAAATTCATATTCCCACTTCAAACTTCATAAGGTTGTTTTGTACAAACAGCTAATTAAGATAAGCAGGAGATTTCTCACAATTCAATAATTCATTCCTAGAGACAAACGTCAGAGGAACATTTGTGTTTGAATGCAATTTAACTACTGTCTGTTTTAATAATGGATCTGAAAGGAGAGAAGTTGGAACTGGTCAGATGTCAACAAAAAGGGATACTACTAGTATGATCCATCCTAGAAAGAAGTACATAGGAAAACCTGTGACATTATTTTTTTTACCATGATACCTACATGAATTGAATTAAAAAAAATATTCTAACCTATGCTGCCTGTTCTTTGTCTACTTGACACAAACTTTGACATAAATGGGAAAAGGGAATGCTAATTGAGACAATGCTTCCGTAAGATTACCTGTGGTCAATTGTGCCTGGTATGTCTTGAATAATGACTGATGTGGAAGAGCACAGCTCCAGGTGCCTTCCCTGGACAGTTGGTCCTGTGTTGTTTAAGAAAGAAGGCTGAGCAAGCCAAGCAAAGGAAGCCAAGAAGCAGAGTTCCTATATGGTCTCTGCCTCAGTTTGTGCCCTGACTTTTCTTAGAATTTGAGCTAGGGCTTCTATTGCTGTGAAGAGACACCAGGACCATGGCAACTCTTATAAAAGATAACATTTAATTGGGGGACTTACAGTTCAAAAGGCTTAGTCCTTTGTCATCAGGGCAGGATATGATGGCATACAGGCAGACATGGTGCTGGAGAAAGAGCTGAGGGTAGAGAAGAAGCTGCATCTTGATCCTGCAGGCAACAGGAAGTGAACTAAGACCACAAAACCTGCCCCCACAGTGACACACTTCCTCCAACAAATCTACATGATCTTCTATTTAGATCCAACATAGGATACTAATTTATATGCATACATTTTATAATTAATATAAATTTGGAAACTGAGTTATAGAAAGAAACTCGTGTAGAATTTAAGAATTAGATTCAAGTCAAATGTGTTGATATAAGTCTGCAATCACAGCAAGAGAGAGGCAGAGATAGGATCATGAGTGAGTTTGAAGTTATTCTGTACTACAGAGAACTTCTATCAATATAAACAAATAAGTAAATTTTAATTAAAAATGCATTTTCACATTAATCTATATCACTGAGCTATCTGGGCAAGGCATACCCACTGCAATCATGACCCACAGCAACTGTGATTATAATCAGTCCTGGATGAAGGATGGTTTCATGACCCCCTACCCTTCCCTGCTGAACTAGTGGCTACTATAGATTCTGGGAGGCAAGGAGGGTCATTGTCTCCAGCTGGGTACCTCTCATGAGCTCATCAGATTCCAATGGATAGTTCTCAACCCATGGTTCAACTCCGTGGGTCATAGAAATAAAATAGCAAAAAAAGACTTGAACCTTGTAAAGGAGTTTGGAGGGAATAGTGAGGCTTGGCATGGGTGTGAGAGAGAGCTGAGTGAATACTTTAAAGTGAGGACAGACATCAAGGTAGAAGTAGGTAGTAGGGCAAATCTGTCCACCTTATAGCAGCCAGAAAGCAAAGAGGCATAGGATTCCAAGGCTCCAATGATCCCCTTAGGGGCCTGATGATAACAGCTGAAGTTCTTCCCACTGGGTCCTCCTGCCTAAGCGTTCTCAATAGAGCTGGCCACCAGTTTTATCAGACTTGGGACAAGAGTGAAGATTAGAAGAAGGAAAAAGCAAATGTTTTACCCTGTGAATCCTACTAACAGAACCAACTATTTGGAAAGATTCTGTTAGAACTTAGAGGTTATTCTGGTTTGATAAAGTGGTAATTGCTGATTCTCCTACAGTTTCCGTGATTTCACTCTGCCTGGATAGCTAGCTGGGTTTCAGGAACTAGGCATAATTTTTCTTATTTAGAGTGGGGTCTTAAGTCCATTTGGAGAGATGTTGGCTACTGTCCAGTTATGACTGCCACTGCTGCACCCTTATACTCAGCCTGCTATGCTGGCCATTTCTGGGATTTATAGGCATCATAGGCGATACCATGAAAGCTAGTCATCAAGGAAGAGGCTTTCAGGTCAGTTCCAGCTTAGGAGCCCCTGGGCCCTGTGTCTGAAGTGCATGGTGCCGTCAGCAATAGGGACTTACCTTCCACCTCTAGAGAGCAACCAAAGACATAACAGTAACCTATAATATTTTGGGAGTCTCTTAGATGAACCTGCCCAACAACTCCAAAAAAGGACTTCACATGTCTAGTGTTTGGGTTTTTATTAGATGGTCTTTGACTTTTAGGAGGATCATTGTTGGCCCAGATGAAAAATTTTCATTTAAACTCCAAATTTATTATATGTGTTATAATGCATGTTTACATGTATTGTAAATATTTTCTTTTGCAGACATCTTACCGTCATTTTAATCTCTTTTTTCCTTTGTACTTATCTTCCTCCGCATTTCTAACTAGATCCCCCCATTTATCCTTTGTATTTGTTTGTACCCTGATATTCCCCTCTCTGTTGCTTCCTGACCCCGCCCCCGCAAGCAATGGTCTCTTTTTATTTCACGAGTTTCTGCAGTTACTCTGGGCTGTGTGCTCACATCTGAAGACTTCATGCTAGGAGCCTCAGAGAAAGGAGAACATGAGATGTCTGTCTTCCTGGACTCAAGCTACCTCATTCAATATTGTCTTTTCTAGGTTCATTCACTTACCTGCAAAATTCATGATTTCATTTTGCTTTACTCCTGAATAGAATTCCATAGAATGGAATTGTGACATACTTTCACTATCCATTCACCTATCAAAGAGCACTTATGATATTTCTATCTGCTAACTATTGTGAAGAGTAGCAATGAACATGGCTGAGCAAGTGTCTGTGGCGTAGAATGTCAAGTCCTTTGGGCATATGACAAGGAGTGGTATAGCTGAGTCATTTAAAATATTTATTCTTATTCTCACAGATAAATGTTGTCTTCGCCCATCATTAAAGAAACTTCTCTTTGCAAGAGACAGAGACCATTACAGAAAACCACAACCAAAAAAAACGAAGAGGTATGTAGCCTGGTGCCAACAAATACATCTACCACAGAAGTCCTGCACCAAAGAATCAGGGAACATTGAGGAAGAGGGAATTGAAAGATTATAAGAGCCAGAGGAACAGGGAATTTGCTATAAGTTAGTGTCTCTTCGGAGTGCTGAAGCTACATCCATAAATTCTCACCAACACAATCGCCTAAAAGTGAGATGAACAGGGACACTATCAAAAGATATGCCAGGGTAGAAAACTCACGAGGCATCAGCCCTACACAAAGAAGTGCAGGCAATTAAGGAATACTGAGGATGGGAAAAATAGCCTCCCCCAGAGAAGAACACACCAATGATTATACAATTCCAAATGGTCAAGCCTGAAACCATACATATGAGTAAAATTACACAAACTGGCAGGGTTGTAGTTATTCTTTTAGAAATATATTTAACAATGACTAATGACGAGAAAAGACATGAATTTGAAAGAGAGTAAGGAGATATATATGGAGTGGTTTAGAGGGAGAAAGGGGAGGGGGAAAGAGAAATAATTATACTGTAATATAAGATATTAAAACGATAGAATCGTGTAATTTTCATGAATGAAGACAAAACAAAATAACAAAAAAAGATTATTTTACTAAGGCCTTAGAACTTACATTTGGTTGTAGTTTCTGTGTGCCTGGAATACCCATAGTATAATTTCGTTTCTCCAGCCTCAAGGAGATCTCTAACTCTCCTAGAATATATTTATCTCTGTTTTGCAGCTATTGGTGATCCAATATGGGAAACATGAGGTTTAGAGACAGGAGGAGGAGGTGCAAGTCTGTGTTCCAACCAGTCGTTACCTATGTTCTTTTGGAGTTTAAAGCAGTTCGAGATTTACTTATTGATAGGATTTATGGCTTGATTTAGTTTCATCAGAAAGCAACAAGTTCTGCGTGAATGTTATTAATCCAAATAAGGTAATTTTGTCTTCATTTACAACCATCTGTTGAAAATGAATTTTTATGAGTTGTCTCCTCAAAGGGGAGAGAAAACAGATGTACATTTGACCTCAAACCACAGAATTGCTCAGCCTGCTCTAAAACTTGATAAGATGTCATATACACACATTAAAAATAGATCTGTTTACCTTGTGCTTTTATAGTTTAATATTTCATAGAGAACAAAAAAGCCTATAAATAAAGTGTTTAACATCCAAAGCTGACCCAGCCTAAGCCATCCTTCTTGCTCCATGCTTCTACCAACACAGAATCTTGATTTTTAACAATGTAAGGGAACTAAAATTGGTTCAGAAAGTATCAGATCGTTGTCCTCAGATGACAGTGAACAGACGGATGGAGAAAACATGAACAGAACTGGCAGAAGAGACGCCCCCCCCCCCCAAGCCACTCTCTTCAGGGATCAGGTAAGCATGTTAAAAGAGTTTTGGTCTGAAGACACCCAGCTACTTTACACAACCATGGCTGCGGTGAGAGATATTAGCTCTTCTCCCATTTGGGTGCAAAATACTGCAAGGCTTTTCCTTAAGCCTGAATATAGAAGTCTCCTTCCAAGTAGAATAGTGGTTTTCAGAGGCTAGGAGGGGGTAGGAGGATGGCGGGTTGTTGGATAATGTGTACTAATCTACATGGGAAGAATGATGATTTCCCTAAAAAGGAGTTTTTTTTTTTTTACTTTATAAAGGATTATTAGAAAGGAAATGAGAACGACTCAACACATAGAGATGATAACTTTTTTGTTGTTATTGTTCTCAAGTAAATGCTTTATAGAAAAAAACAAGTCCTTGAATCATAACTGGACTGTGGCCAAGAATCAGGCATAAGCCACTTCCACAAACTTCTGGTGGTCCAATAAAGAACCTTTTGCTGAAACTGATGAGTTCCACTTGCTTTTTAAACTGCATGGAAGTAGAAGTGCACGTAGGTGTTCTTCAGTGATTTCCTTCCTCCTCTGTGTTAGTGGTGGCACCCGATCACCAAATCCCATACTGTCTGGGCTGCAGAACTTATTCTTTATCATTCTGAAATCTGGAAATGCAAAACCAAGTTATCCTCCAGGCGGGTGTTGTGTGAGGCCTCACTTTTGCCCTAGCAGAGATGATAATAAATCTTTAAGGAGATGAAAATAGTAATTATTATTATTTATCACATAGTTTATTTAAAGATTATACTCTACCCCCATAAATATGTGAGAAAAAAACTTTCAAACAAAGCCTCTTTCCCTAAAGTGTTAACTGAGTCTGTAAGTGCCCCCCACCAATCTCTCAGATACTCTGTTCTGTTTTCTGTAACGTGTGTGCATGCCCTCAGAGCAAGACCAGACATTCTAGTGCCTTGCTTCTAAAATGCCTAGCAAATCCCTGGAGCCCAGGAGTAATGACAAGAAGAATGATTACATGTTGTCTGAAAGTTCCTTCTCTAACACTAGGCAGAGTTTCCTTTCAAGGCTTGGTCTGTGTGCTTGTTAGCGTTGTGGTCACCTTCTGTTCCACTTCTTTAATCTTCAGGATTCTAACTCTTAGTTGATGCTAAGTGATCAATTATCACTTGCTTATGGGACCAAATAAGACAGAACCAGGGCTACTAAGAAACATCTCTACAGGTATTCTACCAACAAATCCCTATATCTGTTAGATATGAAAGCCCCAAAGCAAGAATCAGGTTGTTGCTTTCCCCTTTCAGAACATGTCAAACTATATCTGCATGTGTTGAAGGTGCCACCTATATGTTAATATCCTTCTAACAGTACATATTATAGATGTCAAGTTTGAGGTGTCAGACTCAAACACACCATTTTATTTCCCAAAAAAAACTCTATCTAGAAATAGGGTAAAACTTGTATTCCTGCCTAGAATGCCAAGAGTGTAAGCAATTGAAGTTACATAAACACCAATGGTTAATCAAGTTGAAAGAGAAAACCTCCAGTTCAGCAGGACACTGATTTTTGAATGAAAGAACCCAAGTTTGTGGACCGTTTTCTTCCACAGGGATCTGCCTGACCTCACAGGCTGAAGCTCTTTATCTACTCATCAATGTAGACAGCATCCTCCAGGGATAAGACCATTCCAGCTCACCTGAGAGTTGGGCTAGGGTCACTGATATGAGGCGTATCTTATAAACCCAGATTGTAACCCTCTACAGATCTAAGCAATCCCAGCATGAAAATTAAAGTTTCTACCCGCATGTCCCTGAATGTTTGCTTTGCTTGAATAAATGGGAAAAGAAGGAATATTTCACTTGTTCAAACCGGTGCAACAGCAATCTCAAACTTAGGATGGATTTGAAAGACTGACTTAAACATATTTTAAAAATGAAGATTCTCTGTGCTGACTAGGTTTGTGCTGACTTGACACAAGCAAGCATCATTTTGAAAAGGAGAACATCAGTTAAGAAAAAGAATCCCACTCTATTGGCCTGTGAGCAAGCCTGTGGTGCATTTTCTTGATTGATGGCTGATAGGGAGGGCCCACCTCACCATGATTGGTGCCACCCTTAGGCTGGTGGCTCTGGGTTCTATAAGAAAGCAAACTGACCAATCCATTGGAGAAAGCCAGCAAGGAGCACCCTCCATGGCTTCTACATTAGCCGCATCCAGGTTCCCACCCTGTTTATATTCCTGCCTTGGTTTTTCTCAATGAACTGTGTCCCAGGATATGTAAGACAAATAAATCCTTCCTTCCTAGGGTGGCTTTCAGTTATGTTGCTCTAATTTAGCAATAGAAACCCAAAGGAAAACAGTCTCAAACCTTTTTTCCAAAAAATGCCACCTACTAAACCCGAGTCCTGTGTTATAACATACGTTTTGAGTGGTGCTTTGGCATCGCAGGAAACCACAATCCCAAGAAGATCCACACAGATCCACTCTTGAGTCACAGTGTAAGACGCCTCTGCTGGAAATATCCTAGCACAGTGGCTTTTGGACAGCTTTCAGTGACTGCATCTTGATAATGAAGACCTCTGTTTCAATGTCCAACAATCCAAGTGATCCTCCTTTATTTAGAGTCTTATTTTGGTCTTCACTATCAGTATTACAAGGCCCAAATTCAGATAAACAGGTCCAAAAGGAGCAATTCTAAACATAACCTATTTACAGACAGCAGACGTTTTAGTTTTAAAAACCCTATTTACCTACTTCAGCTTCTTTTTCTAAAAAGTATATTGCTTATAAAACTCACCTGGGACAATTTAAACCTCTAAGCATCTATGTAGATGTTCATGTCAGCTAGGATAATTATCAGCACAATTTAAACCTATTCTTAATTATAGCTATGATGTTCTCTTAGAGAAAATCAGTCCCCAAAGCTTTTAACAAGAACTTTCTCTAAATAGTAGGAGAGCATGAATTCACACGCTTCACAACAGTGGGGAGGGATTTTCTTCTGGATGCTAGTTTTATATAGTTCATAAAGAACATCTTCTGTGCTTGATCCTAATTCTATAGGTACGTCCTATATTTCTGAGGCTCCAATATTTGGGTGGGCATCATTCTCTTGAGACAATATAAACAAGAAACAATACCTCCAACAAGCTCATCGATGAGACTGCATGAAGTGACTTAGATTCTCACATGCAGTATGGAGTGCCTCATCTTCTGCTCAGACAACACCTTCCTAAGAGTCAAAGAGGGCTTTCGGAGCCGTGACTGAGCCATTCTTCACTTTACTAGGAAAGATATAAAGTATAACACACAAACGTGTCTGACATGAATTCACACAGGGGAGAGAGTAGGCTTCAGGATGTTCCAAAAAGAAGTTCAGATGAGTCAAGTTCAGCAAAAAGCCAGAATGCCCCTGAGCATCTGTCAAGTGTCCTCATAGATCTTCTCACTGCAGACGGGGAGAGGTGTGCACAATTCATCATTGTTCTTTTCATGAAATCAACAGACATTTGTCTATGAACTTTCCCCGTTCATTTAGAAGTCTAAGTGTGTGTCAAAACAAGTAGACTCACGCAGCACAACTCCATCAAATGCACTCTGCGAAGGAATAATCAGAATAACAGTGCTCAAGTTAATTACCTCTTATGAGCACCCATGGGGTGCCTGAAAAGTGTCAAACAGGTGTGCACAACACAGAAAGGACCCTGCCTTGTGACTGAATGTCAAGTCCACAGACCCTGAGCAGCTGTATAATTGTCATGGCACAAACAACGTGTAAAGAAAATGATTCTTCATAAAAGGTTGTTAAAGCTATAAGAAGTTTTAAGGACATAAATTTTTCCTACTTGACAAAGGAAGAATTTTGGCTCCAAAGTGGTGCAATGATCACAAAACAGGTCTGTCAAAACTGATAAATGGACGCATTGCTTTCGTTACAAACTCCACCTCTTCTCACCACTGCTAAGAAAACGAAAGCATCTTGAATGCTATAATCACTTTTTTATTTCACACACACCAGTGCGACTATACTTAATGTGACTGATCATGGTAAGACTTTATTCTGAAGTAATGGCATCTAATTTACTACTAGTTGGCCACTAACTCAAGTTACCCAGGCATTGAAAGGCTGGAATAAAACAATGATCTCAAATTCTGAAGGGTAAGCAGTCCCCAGAGACACAACAAATCAATGAGCCAAGACCAGCAGAATCTGTGATGAAACAGAGTCCATATGTTACCATAAAGGAGGATGGTTCAAGGACACCAGGTTGCCTCATTTTTCAGGAAAGTCAAGTGTTCAAGCATTTAAATGAATTTTA